GCAGTTTGCAGAAGGAAAGACGCCCTTTCACATCGCCACAATATTTTTGGTGTATAGCAATAAATCCACGTCGTCATAATTATGTTTCCGACGAATGATAAAATAGCGTGCTATATCATGTAGAATTATCGTAAATATGTACCATATGAAACCATTATGCCAAAAGCCATTTGAAAATATTCTTTGAAACCTTCAAACAAACTTGGCATGCCTTTTCGAATTCTAGAACATAAATTGTAACAAAAATAGAAAGCCCAGTTTAGTTCGCGTGACTTCTAGCCAAATTCGGTAAACAATTTAGATGTTGATTCGACTGAATTTACCGGCTCAATAACTGAAGGTTGTGTAAAATTGCTAATATATCACCATGTTTCTTTAGTAATAGAAAATTACTAGGCCACACGCAGAAAGCTCGTTAGAGTAAATAGGAGTAAATACCTAACTAATATACCTCTAAAATATTTTTTAATGTCGAGAATTCGTATTATTTAATTATCATTGACGGGTGCTACAATATACCTCAATTTCGAATCTCCTATATTTCGGCACTGTTGCAAGCGCCATTGCATGATCACGGAGCGGAGTAACCAAGAGTAATTGAGGATTAGGCGAGTGAGACTCGAAATTAAGGTACTTACATGGTAGCAATCCCGTCAATAATAATTTTATTATTCTGTTAGTGACCATGAAAGTTTAAAACAATATATTCGTATTATCTACTTGTCCGATTTAGGAATAGGAAAATACATTCTTGAAAAAAGGTTACGCACGAGTGTAACTTCCTTCCAGAGATTGTACGGTTCCCAAGGGGGTATAAACTTCCCGCATTTTTGCCAAACCAGCGCTTTTGGGTAGGTAAGAGCATGCGCCAAGAATCCCTCTCACCACCAAATTACTGGCAATAAAATATGTTAAGATATTGCAGGTACAGTGCCAGAATAAGGTTATTTTTGTTACAAAGTCGCCCCTATTACAACTTACATAAGGTGCTTCTTTTAACCCTGATGTGCCACCATCTGACAGTGTAATGAGTGCACTCGACAAAAGAAAGAGCGTCGCTGCTCCCCTTGGTGCTACACAAAAGTGTACCTAAATAGGTCGACAAACGAGTCAAACGATGTCATTAAGGTCGTGATTCCGCCGGGGTCCTCTTCAAATGGGAAGAACTCCAGTTTAAGTAGGCACTTAGCCAGTTGCGTGGAGTTGGAATACGCAATCCAAGTGGAGTGTGTGAAATGTGTATTGACAGCCTAATGGCACCAGTGGAGCGGGGAATCACCTTTTACATTTCATCAATATAAATTAGAAATCTGTGCAGAACAGCAGACGTAAACAGCTTCCAAAATCTCCACAATATTATGCGTTGTTTCAAAGTTTCTGATGAAAAACATCTTCTTGACCCTGCTGTATGAATAGCGACGCAGAATCTTAGAGACGATGCGTGAGGAGTAAAGCTCATAGCAGACTTATCAACTCGGAAAGAGATCAACACCGTATCGCATTTCACGAGCTGTCATCGCCTTTCGCGCGTGCAGATAAATGTGCGTTGCAGTATTCGCTGGGTGCGAAGTATAAGGTGGGGGAACCACGAAACGATCGCAGCGCGCGTCATGGCCAAAAAAAGGAACTTTCTGTGGCGGACGCTGTCACTTTTTACTAGCGAGATTTACGTTTTTAGTAAAAAAACATGAGTCACGAAGCTTGCTGCGTAGTTAATTGCAAAAACAATGGCAGAAATAGTGATAAAAAATTCTACTCCACAGGCAAGTTGGAAACGAGAACAATGATGTCGTGTGTGATTGGTCGGAATCCAGTTTTTATGATTAATTTGGCCATGTTTAACTGAAAATACATAAAAGGATGGATTAACCGCCTCGAGTTAATATGGTTACGATCCCTCTCCGGGTTCATAAATGTGCGACATTTATGATGCTTCAATGTTAGACTTACTTTGCTGTTTCCCGTACTAAAACAATCAAAATTAAATCAGGAAAGACGAATTTCCCCTACAGATTTTGAACTTTATTTATCTTTACTCGACGCCTTTATATCTTTATTTGACGCCTTCCCCAACGGACTAATATCAAGGGAATTATATCTAATCCGAGCCTTCAACCCTTCACAAGGCGAACGGGCTATTAATGTCAGCCTTTGTTTGTATGAAAGAAGGCGAACCTTTTGTAATAAGTTTCTAGTGCTGCGGCCGAAGACTTGCGGCTACACGCGAGGCCTTTAGTTGAAAGAAAGGGGAATCGATATTGATCCGTACGATATTGGATTTAGAATTTGAAATCATTTATCAAAGAGAAAGAACCAAAGCTCAAGCGACGTTCTCTCCGAACTTCTACTTGCATAGAATTTGGTTAAATTAATGCCCTCTTTCTGGAAGCAGCCCAAATAATTCTGCTGGAATAGCGCACACGGTAAACTAGACTTAGTCCTCAATTAAATTAAATTCCTTAGGTGATTTTCTTGGAGTCAAATTCAGAGGTAACCTTCACCGGGGTTAAGTAATTGAACGATTGAGTAGGTGTGGCAAGAGTGATCACTTTGCCGGCAGGTCGAGTAAACTGACCCATTCATTTAGTCTTTGTGCCCCTGCACAATGAGGATTTATATGGATTACCAAAGTTTAGTTCGCACTTTATAGACCGATGACCACAGGAAGATAGGAAGCAGAGGTTGGATGAACCTGACATTCAGCCACGAGTTTTTATACCTAACTAGTTTTTAATTAAATTGTTTTTTAACTGGCAAGATAATAAAGCTTACATGAATCGTGACGTATTTTGAACGTTCATATTGAAGAAAGAAAAGCCGCAAAGCGACCAGTGTCATCCCAATTTTATTTCTTTGCTCGTCTTCTAAGCTCCGAGGCGCGCGTGTTCACAAAGCGTTTAGTTTATGCTGATAAATTGACTGATTTAGTTCGCCAATCCATAAAACTTGTCATTAAACTCTGGCCATTATGAAGCTAACAGCTGTATATCTCCACAGGCCTCCCAGACAGTATGCTACTATGGCTGCTGCAGAAACTTCGCGGCAGTCGCCCCAGGTTGCGCGTGTGTGTGCGTCAACACGCCAGCTCGCAATGTTCCGCGTTCTACATAACAGCTGATGACGATGTGTGAGTAGACAACGTCTCCACAGCGGGGCTACTCCGGAAAACATTATCCAAAGTTTCGAATGTTACCCCTCTCACACAAAGCGAGATGCCAGCATAAGCGACGGTGACAGACAAACCAGGAACTACGTAAACTGATTCGGAGTAACCCCCGTGGCTCCTCTGATAGTATGCTGCTATGGCTGCTGCAGAAACTTCGCGGCAGTCGCCCCAGGTTGCGCGTGTGTGTGCGTCAACACGCCAGCTCGCAATGTTCCGCGTTCTACATCACAGCTGATGACGATGTGTGAGTAGACAACGTCTCCACAGCGGGGCTACTCCGGAAAACATTATCCAAAGTTTCGAATGTTATCCCTCTCACACAAAGCAAGATGCCAGCATGAGCGATGGTGACAGGTAGACCAGGAACTACGTAAACTGTTTCGCAGTAGTCCCCCTGGTCTTCCAGACAGTATGCTGCTATGGCTGTTGCAGAAACTTCGCGGCAGTCGCCCCAGGTTGCGCGTGTGTGTGCGTCAACACGCCAGCTCGCAATGTTCCGCGTTCTACATAACAGCTGATGACGATGTGTGAGTAGACCACGTTATCCACAGCGGGACTACTCCAAAAAACGTTATCCGAAGTTTCGAATATTGCCATCCCTCTCACACAAAGCGAGATGCCAGCATAAGCGACGGTGACAGACAGACCAGGAACTACGTAAACTGTTTCGGAGTAGTCCCCCTGGTCTTCCAGGTCTGCTATGGCTGCTACAGAAACTTCGCGGCAGCTGGCCGAAGTTACGCGTGTGTGCGTCAACACTAACGAGCAGGGTTCCGCGTTCTACATCACAGCTGATGACGATGTGTGAGTAGACAAAGACAACGTCTCCACAGCGGGGCTACTCCGAAAAACGTTATCCGAAGTTTCGAATGTTGCCATCACTCTCACACAAAGCAAGATGCCAGCATGAGCGATGGTGACCGGTAGACCAGGAACTACGTAAACTGTTTCGCAGTAGTCCCCCTGGTCTTCCAGACAGTATGCTGCTATGGCTGCTGCAGAAACTTTGCGGCAGTCGCCCCAGATTGCGCGTGTGTGTGCGTCAACACGCCAGCTCGCAGTGTTCCGCGTTCTACATTACAGCTGATGATGATGTGTGAGTAGACCACGTTATCCACAGCGGGACTACTCCAAAAAACATCCGAAGTTTCGAATGTTGCCATCACTCTCAAACAAAGCGAGATGCCAGCATAAGCGACGGTGACAGGTAGACCAGGAACTACGTAAACTGTTTCGCAGTAGTCCCCCTGGTCTTCCAGGTCTGCTATGGCTGCTGNCTATGGCTGCTGCAGAAACTTCGCGGCAGTCGCCCCAGGTTGCGCGTGTGTGTGCGTCAACACGCCAGCTCGCAATGTTCCGCGTTCTACATAACAGCTGATGACGATGTGTGAGTAGACAACGTCTCCACAGCGGGGCTACTCCGGAAAACATTATCCAAAGTTTCGAATGTTACCCCTCTCACACAAAGCGAGATGCCAGCATAAGCGACGGTGACAGACAAACCAGGAACTACGTAAACTGATTCGGAGTAACCCCCGTGGCTCCTCTGATAGTATGCTGCTATGGCTGCTGCAGAAACTTCGCGGCAGTCGCCCCAGGTTGCGCGTGTGTGTGCGTCAACACGCCAGCTCGCAATGTTCCGCGTTCTACATCACAGCTGATGACGATGTGTGAGTAGACAACGTCTCCACAGCGGGGCTACTCCGGAAAACATTATCCAAAGTTTCGAATGTTATCCCTCTCACACAAAGCAAGATGCCAGCATGAGCGATGGTGACAGGTAGACCAGGAACTACGTAAACTGTTTCGCAGTAGTCCCCCTGGTCTTCCAGACAGTATGCTGCTATGGCTGTTGCAGAAACTTCGCGGCAGTCGCCCCAGGTTGCGCGTGTGTGTGCGTCAACACGCCAGCTCGCAATGTTCCGCGTTCTACATAACAGCTGATGACGATGTGTGAGTAGACCACGTTATCCACAGCGGGACTACTCCAAAAAACGTTATCCGAAGTTTCGAATATTGCCATCCCTCTCACACAAAGCGAGATGCCAGCATAAGCGACGGTGACAGACAGACCAGGAACTACGTAAACTGTTTCGGAGTAGTCCCCCTGGTCTTCCAGGTCTGCTATGGCTGCTACAGAAACTTCGCGGCAGCTGGCCGAAGTTACGCGTGTGTGCGTCAACACTAACGAGCAGGGTTCCGCGTTCTACATCACAGCTGATGACGATGTGTGAGTAGACAAAGACAACGTCTCCACAGCGGGGCTACTCCGAAAAACGTTATCCGAAGTTTCGAATGTTGCCATCACTCTCACACAAAGCAAGATGCCAGCATGAGCGATGGTGACCGGTAGACCAGGACCTACGTAAACTGTTTCGCAGTAGTCCCCCTGGTCTTCCAGACAGTATGCTGCTATGGCTGCTGCAGAAACTTTGCGGCAGTCGCCCCAGATTGCGCGTGTGTGTGCGTCAACACGCCAGCTCGCAGTGTTCCGCGTTCTACATTACAGCTGATGATGATGTGTGAGTAGACCACGTTATCCACAGCGGGACTACTCCAAAAAACATCCGAAGTTTCGAATGTTGCCATCACTCTCAAACAAAGCGAGATGCCAGCATAAGCGACGGTGACAGGTAGACCAGGAACTACGTAAACTGTTTCGCAGTAGTCCCCCTGGTCTTCCAGGTCTGCTATGGCTGCTGCAGAAACTTTGCGGCAGCTGGCCGAAGTTACGCGTGTGTGCGTCAACACTAGCGAGCAGTGTTTCGCGTTCTACATAACAGCTGATGATGATGTGTGAGTAGATCTGAGCCTGCATCCAGCGCCTTCTTGCTACCTTTACGAGGTCGTCGGTCCACCTATTCATTCATTGATAGCTGACTGAAAAGACTGTTTTAAGATTACATGCCATGTCACACTTATCGAAGCTCGATTCGCCACTAAAGTCTATAAACATGGAGCATGGAACTACCTGTATAGGACCAGGTACTCCTGAACTTTAAAGTAAGGTAATAAAGTTCAGAATTCGATGGTAGTACAGAGTGAAGACATCGCCTAGGTTTCTAAAACTTATGTTATCAATTTCTTATTGCAGGCTGTTGCAAACCGCGGAAGAAGTGCATCTGCCCAAACTCCTCAAGCCTGAGTTTGGAGGTGGCTACAAGGAGTTCACAGTTCGCGACATGCACTGTTTCCAAAAGGTAACAACTATTTGCTAGATCTATTATAAACTCTTTTGTTCGATTTCAATAGATCAATGTCCTTCAATGGTCATGATAAAAAATTGCTAGCAAAAAGCGTAATTTACTTTTTTAACTCCCATTTTGTTTGTTGCTTAATGCATTGGTAACTACGCAATCAAATAAAAAAAATGTTATGAAAATAATGAGGAGCAAATACTTACCGTACTGAATTGAATAAATCAAATCACATTTCATAAATGAAAATGCACAAAATATTTAATACAATACATAAATGTACAGAGACGCAAAGATCTGTTCAATATTTCGAAATCTACGTATTACCAAATGAAAACGATCAAAAAGCTTTCGAAGCAAATTACGAATTTATCCAATAATATTATTATATTTTCCTCACAAATGTATAACATAACAACAGAATAAAACCTGCATTATCAATTTCCTAACCGAGGTTGAATTTCCCACACACCACCCCAGGGAAATGCGCCAGACATAAATGGTTATTACGCTTGAATATTTTATGACACTTGCAGAGGAATATAATGGTTTTCACTATTGCTGGAGGTGCTATTAGGGCTCAATTTAAAGATTATCTGGGCAGGCTTAATGAGTTTATTATCCAGTAGTAGAAGCCCGAATGTAGCTTATTTAAACTACAATAAAAAAGAAAGAGATTTTTGTAAATTAGTCAAGGGTAATCTCCTGAAACACGAGTTTTATTTACCCAAACGGGAAAGCTATTGGCCTAAGCTGCATTTCACCTGATAGAAAGTGATGATTAAACATTAAGGAAATCTCTAGTACAAGGGATAGGATTTGAAAAAGAAAAGCAAATTATTCTAGATGAAGAAAATGTTTTTAAGACTACATTTACATCACAACATAAGGTGCGATTGCGGTCAATTACGTTCTTTGTTCGGCTTAAAAAAGTAACCATCATAATTCAAGTTGTTTACATAGATTTTAGCAGGTTTTATCCTTGGCAATTAATTAACTAACCAAAGAAAGTAAAACCAACGAAAAACAACTTCAAGCTGAAACATAAACGCCGAATACGGTAATGTTGAACACTCAGCGTCAATCAGAGGTTAAATCAGGTCAAACAAATAGCTGTAATGGCCGTAGTTATTTCTGGAGAGTCTACTGCAGGTTATTTGCCCGAAATTGAGATAAGCATTTGTACAGTCTGCTTTGAGTATTAGATATAATCAGATTAATCTCAAAGTGGAAACTAATTTGATATTAAATTGACAGTAATTAGCGCTACAAACTTTAATATTCACGAAATAAAAACAGTATTCTTCTTCTTTTGTGCCGTTCCCATTTTAGCCGGGCTAGAATGCGCGCCGTATATACTTTATCAACGTCAAAATGTATAGGCAAAATCGATAAAATTACTTGATAACCGCTTATCGCGGCGTGCATCCTAGGCCTACAGGTCGCCCTACTCTTTCTAAACAAAAAAAACCGGCCAAGTGCGAGTCGGACTCGCGCACCGAGGGTTCCGTACAAACCTGCAAGGTTTACAAAGTTCGTTCATTACGACAATCGAGTCATAACTATTTTTTTTTTTCACGGGTTAAAGGCAATTAGATCTAAGTATTTGATATGAATTTCAACTTGATAGCTCTACGCGTTCATGAGGAAAAAAGTAATAAGTTTATATTTATTAAAAAATATATATTTTGTAATGTAACTAAAAATTTAAGGTTTTCGGAATTTTTCCTTTATGTGTGCTATAAAACGTTGCTTCATGCCAAATTTCAAGATTCTAGGTCGACTGGAAGTACCCTTTAGGTTTTGATTCCCTTGCGAGTACTTGCGAGTTTCAAAATATGCAGCTTAAATTGCTGTTTCTTTTGATTGCGTTGACATAGAAGTTTGATTTTGTTACAGCTTAAAGGTATTATAGACCTGAGTATTTGGTATGAATTTCAATTTAATACCTCTACGCGTCTATGAGGAAATGGGTAGTAAGTTTAAAATTATTAAAAAAATATATATTATGTGATGTAACTAAAAATTTATGGTTTTCGTAATTTTTCCTTTATCTATGCTATAAGACGTTGCTTCGTACCAAATTTCAAGATTCTGAGTTCACGGGAAGCACCCTGTAGGTTTTGATTCCCTTGCAAGTGTCGAAAATTTGCGGCATAAACGGCCATATCTTTTGATTGCGTTGGCTTAGAAGTTTGATTTTTTCACAGCTTCAAGGGACAGTAGACCTGAGTAATTGATATAAATTTCAGCTTCATACCTCCACGCGTTCCTGAGAAAAAGGGTCTTGACAGACGGACGGACGGACAACAAAGTGATCCTATAAGGGTTCCGTTTTTTCCTTTTGAGGTACGGAACCCTAAAAATGATTCACTTTTACGTTTTAGTATTTTTCGTTAATTCATGTATTAATTTATTTAAATATCTACGCAATCTTTAATAAATTTCTAATGCACTAACGATTTAAGGGCCATTGGCATCTCTCGGCCTTACAACGTCAATATTATTCTATACCGACTGTACCTACGACCTGCGTGACTCCATGGCGTGACCTCCTGAAATAGCTCATTAAGGCGATTAGAGTCCTCAATGACCTTGGGCGTTTGACCTTCACGCCGCGAGCAACACCCGCGTACCCCGCACCAAAAACTCCGATTTGACACCGATCAAAAATACACGGGCATAGGTAGATACAGAATAGAAGCTCTTTCTTCATACATTACTGCCTATTATTTTAAACTTAAATTGATGAACCTTGATGTCGGTGTCATTTAACTCAGGCGTAAAGGTATTTAATAAAAATAACAAAATCCATGAACATTTTGTACGGGATAAAATTTTATTTTATTTTTCGTAAATTTGGCGCGATACGCCACGCTTGAGTAGAATTTTTACTCAAATGTGACGTCACGCGACATTTCAACTCAATATAATACTGTAATTATTCGATTATGGAAAAAAATAAAAAATATGAGTCTAATATTTTCTAATTATCTGTCTGACGGACTAAATAGAATTTCGATTTCATTACCCAGTCATCATCCCTATTGGAACGCATTAGTACCTACCTAGTATTGTCTATGGCCTAAAAAAGCAAATGTTTCTGCTTTTGTCTATCACTTATGAAGAATAAACTGAAAATGTATTTGTCTTTTTATTAGAAATCCTTCATCAATGAGGGCTATCGTTTTTATACTTAACAGTTGGCACCCCTGGCGATTGACAGGACCTTACTCTACAGTGGCGCCATCTTGATGAGTGCAAATGCGATAGTCCCGCTACCACTTTAGCGCTCACAAGTTGGCGCCACTGTCTTCGCTACTAGCAAGTGACAGGACCTTACTCTACAGTGGCGCTAACTGGTGAGCGCTAAAACGATAGCCCTCATTGATTGAGTTCAAATTTCGGATATACGTGTAATTCGGGTGACAATGCAATATTGTGATGACATGGAGCTGATCTGATGGTAGAGCTGGAATGCCAGTGGCCCCATAGCAACTCCGGGAATAAACGATATTATTNCTCAATATAATACTGTATTTATTGACGTGGTTTTCGTTCAAATTTCGGATATAGGTGCATGTAATTCGGGTGACAATGCAATATTGTGATGACATGGAGCTGATCTGATGGTAGAGCTGGAATGCCAGTGGCCCCATAGCAACTCCGGGAATAAACGATTCCATCGAGTTTAGGCTCGTTTGATTCGTATTTATTTATTATTATCTATACTTATAATAAATCTGTAGAGAGGTCAATTCTGTACATGAAATATATTTTCAAAATAACTATCAGGGGGTAATTAGTGATCGATACTGATGCCAAAAATACAATCAGTAAAATTTTTGTCTGTCTGTATGTTCCTTATAGAAACAAAAACTGAAAAAAACTTTTACTGGGGTCAAAATTGGACGTTAGGGAGACCATGGCGAGGCCTATCGATGGTTGAAGAATTATCCATTGTTTTTGGGACACCCTGTATAAGCAAGTACCTAATNTCTGACTGCACGTACTCTATGAACAATTCTGACATAAAATCTATTGTCGAACAAAAGCTGGGTTGCACCATCTTACTTCAACTTTGACAAGCGTCAAAAGTCTGTCTAACTCCATACAAAAAACACCGGTTATCGCCAAAGCTACGGTCAAAGTTAGGTCACGTCAGGTGGTGCAACTTAGCCAAAGAAAAAATTCATTTTGATCGCTAATGTCAGTTTGTAGCGAGTGACACAACCTCCCCGTCTGAAGGCCAGCGGCCGACTGCCGCCCGCACCCCGCGAAGGCCCCCTCAACAGCAAAACGTTCGGAATTTATCAAAAGTAAAATTTATGAATGAAAGTAATGTTCGATTGAAAAACGCAACGTGTCATTTAAAGATTAAAGAATTCCCAATCTATTCGTGCAAAAATCTTTTAAATTAACACAGCCGTTTTGGAGGAGTAGGGAATTTAAGTAAAAAATCGATGTCCCGCATTTATTTTTTTAATCCAAAACAAAGAGACTTAGCGAAAATTCAAACGTCACAAATGTAGTCCTTGAACTGTTGTATAACATATATTTTTTTCAACTATTTCTGTCCAGCAGTAAAAGAGGAGTAGGCTTTACAAAATGCCCATTTGGCGCGGATTGAGGACACAAATCGCCTTAATTCAGCGTTGTAGGGCGGTGTAAGTTTCAGTGGCTCGGCTTGGCATGCAACTGTGTCAGTAGGAATCGCTTGAGATGCCAAATTGTTAGAGCTAATTCGGTTCATGAAGAAAATAGGCTTTTACGAATAATAATCTCTAATATTGCATGTAGGTAGGGATTACGGAATGGATTGTATGAAGCTATGATAATATCGGACTTGGTAGAAACTAGGTATTTTGATATTTTTTAGAACTGTATTTCACTGAGGTAAAGTGGCAACTGCTTATAAAAATAAATAATGGATATCTCACTTCTAAACTTAAATCTAAAGGAACTGAAATTCTGCTACCCTGTATACAAAGTTATTATTATAAATAATTAGGGCACTTGTACTTAATTAAAAGTCTACCACAAAATTGATTGTGAAATACAGTTGCATGGCGATCGAATTCAGCAAAAGCTCTGTCTAAATAGAATTACGTGCAGGGTATTGGTGAACCTGAACGTTTTCGCTGTATTTCTTTTCTAACTTATGCAACTCTAAAAGTAAGCATATCGAATAATACCCCTCAAATGAGATACTTTTCAGCTTTCGAAACCATTTGAATTATGTGCGATCCCCGTGTTATTAATGCTTTTTCCCATTTGCCCAGGGTTCCTCAGCGGCCGAGCTACTAAACTCACAAGAGCGTGGGGCGTTGGTGAAACATGTATTGGAGTCGGCGCGCGCAGAACCGGGCGATGAGCATGCTTTGGAACCGGCGCTGACGCTGCGGCCTGGACAGAGCATCGGTTGGTTTGCACCTTATTACTACGTAGTTAAGGCACAGAATGGTTTAAACGGAAGGGTCACTTCGCATTTTAAGAAATTGCGACTCTCAGGACTACGGAATAAAGTGCAATTTAGTTATAGGGCTCTGGGCGACGAGATGGGTTAAAGCATCGGTTGGTTCACATTTAGAGTAGTTTGCACCTTATTACTTGGTTGTTAAAGCACAGAATATTTGGAGCGTCAAGAAAGTTATTTCGAAAACACATTCAAAGGAAAAGCGAGTCTCAGTGCTATGCAATAAAGTGCAATTTGCTTAGAGCGCGTTGGTGTAACACGTATTGGAATCGGCACGCTCCAAACCGGGCTTTGGAACCAGCGCTTACGCTGCGGCCTGGACGGACAGAGCATCGGTTGGTTTAGATTGAGAGTATATTAGAAAAATCCTTCCTTCCTTTTCATCCAACAGACTGAACCAAGGCATTTTAAGATTTTGAACAAAGGCCTGCTGGAAAAATGCCTCCTCAAAGAATTTCCACAAAAACTAGCTGTCCGTATCCAGGCGGTTCCCGCAACCTTCAACATGGCGTCGGTCTACTTCTTCCGTAGTGCAGTTGCCACAAAATGTCTACCTTAATGGCCATCCCTTTTTCGCGCTGTATCTTGCTCATTGCTATTTGAGAAAAATATTTATTTCACACAAATAACAAAAGAAGTGGCACTTTTTTTAAATTTATGTATATTTTTCTTCATCAGTGCCAGCATGCGTGAGCAGAGGTGTGGTGGCCAGTATGTTCCCACTTCACGAACGGAACGCGCTGGAAAACCTTAGGAAGAAGTGGGTCAAGACTTTCTTCTCTCCACAACCTTTAGGTGAGAGCTGTTTAACCCTTCAATCCCTGCGAATCCTGCTTGGGGTTTGATGGGTTAAAATTTAGTTTGATCCATCTGAGTCATACGCTACACACTATTTAATATGTGTACGATCCGTATACAAAAAATGGTTAAGAAGGTTTTAATAAAATACCAACACCACTTATGTATTTACCCTACATTTTTTGAGCAAATAAATAATTTGAATTTTAACCCTATCACTACTAATATTATAAAATTACAAATCAAAACATTTTGTATGTATTTCAGATGAAATTAGCGAATACTTTGGAGTAAAAATAGCGATGTACTTTGCTTGGCTCGGACATTACACACAATCGTTAACAGTACCTGCAGTAGTTGGTTTTATTTTTTGGGTGAGTAATGAAATTTACAGGATTTTCGCACTTGGTCCTTCGAGCCGGATGTTTTAATTATTTTATGTTTCAGATTTGGTTGGGCACAGCAAATGAAAACTGGAAGGATATAGCTTATGTATTATTCTCACTGTTTAATGTGCTGTGGGCTTGTGTTTATTTGGAGACGTGGAAAAGGTAGCTTTTTTAACGCAGACATTACATTGTTAGAAAGGAGCGTAGTTATTAATGAGTTTTGTTTTCAGATACTCCAACGCTTTGGCTTACAAGTGGGGCACATTGGACCAAAGAGATGACTTGCTTGTTGAGCCTCGACCCCTTTTCGAGGTAATTTTGTTTGTATTTATTATGACATTATAATTACATATATCAACTTCGTAGTTGAAAGATCATCACTATCTTCCACCACTAACCAGACGGAGGTTAACATACCATTGTTACATTGTCGGCATTCCAGCTCAAGCGTTTCGCTGTCTTTTTTTATAATGCGAACAGCTAGGGGCGAATTCGATGCCAGCTGCTGTCTTTACCGAACACTATTATCCGGGCCTTTTCAAGGCAAGAGTGAATAGGGCAAGTACGTACCATCCTAGACTGCATCTCACTTAACATCAGGTGCGATTGCGGTCAAATACCTGCCTTGTTTTGCATAAAAAAAGATCTTTGCGTACGTCTGATATCGGAGTGACTTTGTATGGTATGTACTTATTTATTTACAGGGTGAAATGGGTACAAGCCCTGTAACAGGGAGGCCAGAGCCCCAATACGCTGCGTGGCGACGACGCGTGTGGCGCCACTGTGTGTCGTTGCCAGTGATGCTAGTATGCCTTAGTGTGGCCACTGTGGCCACCTTCGCCTTTCTGCGGGCTCAGGTAAGAAACATTCAAATTCTTTAGTATGTAGCGTAGGTCCTTTCTTGGGAAAAACAGGTAGACTGGTGCTTAGAAATCGTGGAAGAAACTCAAATATGGAACGCACCTTATTCCAAAATATCTCACCTTCCTCTTCCTCAAGCTTAGAATGACCACCGCTGAACTGGCTTGTCGCCACGTTCGCACTGCGCTCAGGTGAGTTGATACAGTGTGAAATGGGTACAAGCCTTGTAACAGAGAGGCCGGAGCCCCAATACGCTGCGTGGCGCCACTGTGTGTCGTTACCAGTGATGCTAGTATGCCTTAGTGTGGCCACTGTGGCTACCTTCGCGTTTTTGCGGGCTCAGGTAAGAAACATTCAAATTCTATAAATAAAGTATGTGTTTTTGGCCAAACTTAATGACGATAGTCCCGTGGAGGTTTGTGCTATTATTATGAACAGTGTTGAAGGTCTTATTAATAGGTAAATTAATACTGTAAACTGTTTGTATACCTATTACAAATAAATAAATAAATAGGTACAGCCTAGATACTTAAGCTCGTTTTCACCATCAATCTCTGATTTTTATGTGACGCCTATGGTAACACATAACAGGAATTTCGTTTTCATATGGGTCACTTAAAAATTAAGGATTGACAGTGAAAACGGGCATTAAACACATCTCAAATATAGCTTGCCCTACCACCACTTCGGGACAACATATCGGCTGGTGCTGGGAAGAAATGGCGGATGAAACTCAAACATGGAATGCACTTTGTTCCAAAATACCTCACATTCCTCCTTCTTAGATAACAAAAGAAACACTGCTGAACAAAGCTTACGTCATATCTAGTCATAGTCGGCCGTTTGGTGTAGTGGTTCGAAACGGACTACTATTCCGGAGGTAGCGGGTTCGATTCCCGCACAGTACAAACATTTGTGTTCATAAACATATTTGTATTGGACTGGGTGTTTTCTATGTATAATAAGTATGTATTTACAAAAAAAAAGTATTTAAGTATGTTTATATCCGTTGTCTAGTACCCATAGTACAAGCTTTGCTTATTTTGGGACTAGAAGCGCAGTGTTAAATGTCCAAGGATATTTATTATTATTATTATTTATTATATGATCGAGTTGAAAATCTAACCTAATTTTATTGAGTAGTATTAGGCCACGCCCACTCTACTCAGGAATTGGTAAAAGGCGACTAAGATATAAATAAGCGAACAGCAGACATCCCCAACCTGTGTTGCCAACTTTTTTTTTTAAAGATTATTCGTTAAAGTGTACTGAGTGTGTAGTTAGATTCTTTCCGGGAACTTCATCCTCCATTTGACCCTGGTAAAATAGGGTTCCGCACCTGCAGTGACATTTTCGAATAGAGAGAAAAAAGGATTTGTAATGTTTAGATGTTGTTACATCTTATCTCCTATGGCCAACAGGCCATAACCCTAAAATGTAGGACATGCAAATACTCAAATCTATTTTGTTTGTAATTTGTGAATTTTGTTCCCAGGATTGGTGGGAAACTAGGATAGTATATTTCACGTGGATACCACGGGCATTTCTAGCCATAATTATCGCAGTCGAGGAAGAAGTGTACGCCCGGATAGCAAGATGGCTCAACGATAAAGGTAACAAGTCATAAATAATAATTTTTCAACTTTTTGGTTTTAATTTTAACATCTTGACTATCTTTGTGAGAAAATTTTGAACTCTTTAGTGTGAGTTTAGTGTGATAAATTAATACAATATTAATGAAGACACCAGTTTATGTGTTGAATTTACGTAGTTTTTATGATGTATGGATTTTTGTATAGTTTTATAACTAAAGTTACTCATACACATTCTATTATTTACTTCAAAACTTTGTTTCCTTGCCACTATCCAAATGATATGATGTGTATGGGTAGCTTTTTATTAGGTATCCTGTAATGTCTCTGAATTAAAAAATAAATTCACAATTTATTCATAAAAGAATAACGTAATACTTTTTCTGCATGAAGAATAGTTACTGTCTTATAGTTAAACTAGCACATACCTTAAATAATAGAGTATGTTTCTAAATTAAAATATTAAATAGATTATTATCAGTATACATAAAAACCTAGTTTAATAAATAGACCACATATCGTAGTTATATGTTTAATACGTATAGTAGATGATAATACTATAGTGCCTTATATTTTCTCTTTACTGCTTACCAAACGGGACTGGATTATAAACAACTTCGAATTGTATTAAAATGGTAACGAAAAATCATGATCTCCCGCCATTCGCAGAAAACTATCGTCTCGAGACAAAGTATGAAAATCACCTGATTGTGAAAATTGCATTGGTTTGTATTTAAAAGCTGCCATAGACTAACACCATGCTCAGAGCTAAGCTTCAATCACGCTTTGCATACCATAGACAAAAGGAAAAAGGTTTTTAACCGACACATGGTAATCTATGGACATAACTTAAAAGCACTATGATGTATCTTGCAACTGCACGCGGTTTTGTTTTGCTTGCATGCAAAATAAAATGTTGAATAATAAAATAATGCGAATAAAACACAGACACCCGCATTGATACAGTTAACTCATATTTTATAACTATAGAAATTATTAGCTAAATAAATAGGTACTGTTGTTAGTTTTTGTAAGGGCAGTATAACACTGATGATTTGCAAGCGAGATTCAGAGCGAGTCGAGTCTCCCGAATGATTTGTCATTTAAATAGTGGATTTTTAATATTTTTCATAAAACCTGCTATTTGCTATGAGTGGATGATTTTTTCCATTATCAGCTGATCAACTGAAAGAACCATAATATTGCTGATTCATACGAATCTAAAATTATCCTTATAAAATACCTTCCTTTAAGTATTCGAAACTACATTTTAAGCATCCCAATGAGAAGCCATACATTTATAACTTCTCGCTCTCAGTCGATTAAAACTCGCTTGCAAAACTGTTAGTGTGTTAAAGAACTAGGTTGATGTTGTCATGATTATGTATTAAAGCATTTTCGTCGCACACTTAGTGACGTACACAACATTATCTAAATCACGTACACATTTATTATGCATCGCTTCTTCGTTAATGTATTGAAATAAATAAAATTAAAACGATAAATAAATATTATATTGCTTTTCGAATTTGATGTTAATTTGCAAACACTTAACCAACTGATAGAGTTATAAAACAACTGTAAAATCATCTTAGAACTCATCGATTCATTCATCACTTTACTTACCTATAAATATTATTTATTTAAACAAATTGTTTTTTCGTTTTCAGTTTCAATTCGTGAACTCTTTTATGAGCTTGTTCTACATCGCGTTTTATATTCAGGATATGGATAAGTTAAAAGAGGTATGTAAATGTACTAATTTCAGTATGAGAATTTGAGTTACTATAATATCTATAAAAGTATACGTTTTTGTAGCACAATAGCGCCTGTTCGTTCGTTCGTTTCAGCCGAATGACGTCCACTGCTGGACAAAGGGACAAGGTTTTCCACAATGAACGGTCCTGCGCTGTCCGCATCCAGGCTCTTCCCGCGACCTTCATCAGATCGTCGGTCCACCTAGTAGGAGGCCTGCCCACGCTACGTCTTCCAGCCCGTGGTCGCCACTCGACAACTTTTCTGCCCCAACGGCCATCGTCTCTACGAGCTATGTGCCCCGCCCACTGCCACTTGATTTTAGCAATTCTGCGAGCTATATCGGTCACTTTGGTTCTCCTGCGGATCTCATTTCTGATTCGATCACGCAGGGAAACTCCGAGCATAGCCCGCTCCATCGCCCTTTGATAAAAGCGGCTGTTATAAAAATATAAGTGACCACAATGTTAGGCCCGGTTTCCACCAAAGCTGAAAGATGTCTTTGAATAACCAATCTGTGGTGGAATCGTGTAAAGCAATCGTAATCATTTGACAGTTCATAACATACGATTATTCTGTCAAACGCTTTGTTTATCTGACTTTATCGTACCTTAAGAACTGTCAAATGATTACGATTGCTTTACACAATTCCACCGCTGATCTCGTCATTTCTCCGCTCAGCTTAGGTTTGGAAATCTGATTGGTTATTCAACCAAATCGCCTCCGCTTTGGTGGAAAGAGGGCCTTAAACCTTGATGTGCCATCTTGTTTACACGTTTGAACGCCTGCTTAAAAGAATCGATAGCGAAAATGTGTATTATCTAGTTGTATTACGTGCATTTTTTCATCAAAACTGTAATTTAATACATGTTTGTTGTATTTCTTTCAGCAACTAGCAGTGTTGCTAATAACGCGACAAGTGATAGGAAATCTGAAGGAATCGGCTTTGCCGTATCTTATTGAGAATTTGAGGTTGGCGAAGATTTGTATCGACGTTTTCGGAGCCTTAAGTCCCAGTAAAGGTAAGCAAATATAGCACCAACGAATTCAATAGTGGCGTAAATCGGTGTATTTTGAAATATTAACTTTGTTCTTAGTCATCATATCTTTGCTACATAATGATACTGTCCTTTTCACATTAGAGACCAAATTCGTTCGCGAATCACCTAGCAGTCATACGTCCGAAACACGCATGTAAAAATACACTATCCTTTCATCGCTTCTATTTTCTGAAGAAGTTCGCGTGAACAGAACAGTGCCGAAATATCGGAAACTCAAAATTAAGGTACATGGTAGCAATCCCTTCAATAATAAGTTCATCTAATTAAAGTACATTTTCCCTTATTAATCAATCATCCTTCATTGTAACTTTAATATGTAAACGGTATGATGAAACAAAAAAAAGCAATCAAGTTTGTCAACTTTATACCCAAACCTTTTCAGTGCCAACATCAGCACAGCTAACAGAGATGTTCGACAAAAAAACGGACTCTTCAGGAGACGCGCCCGAGAATAGTCTGATCAACGGCACCGACCCTGATCGAAGGGATTCTGAACCCATCGTCGGGCAGAAGGTCATACATCAGGCCGAGCTGGAGTCGCAGCTGTTTAAGGTGACGGGAATATTCCCTCTTCTCGTTCCCACCACATACAGATATGTAAGAAGACCGATTCGTCCGGAGACGCGCCTGAGAATAGTCTGATTAACGGCACCGACCCTGATCGAAGGGACTCTGAACCCATCGTCGGGCAGAAGGTCATCCATCAAGCCGAGCTGGAGTCGCAGCTGTTTAAGGTAACGGGAATATTCCTACATAATATAGAGATGTAAGAAGACCGATTCGTCCAGAGACGCGCCTGAAAACAGCCTGATTAACGCCACCGACCCTGATCGAAGGAACTCTGAACCCATCGTCGGGCAGAAGGTCATCCATCAGGCCGAGCTGGAGTCGCAGCTGTTTAAGGTAACTGGAATATTCCCACCTTTCGTTACCATCACATACAGAGATGTAAGAAGACCGCTTCGTCTGGAGACGCGCCTGAAAACAGCCTGATCAACGGCACCGACCCTGATCGAAGGGACTCTGAACCCATCGTCGGGCAGAAGGTCATCCATCAGGCCGAGCTGGAGTCGCAGCTGTTTAAGGTAACGGGAATATTCCCACCTCTCGTTCTCACCACATAGAGATATGTAAGAAGACCGCTTCGTCTGGAGACGCGCCCGAGAATAGTCTGATCAACGGCACCGACCCTGATCGAAGGGACTCTGAACCCATCGTCGGGCAGAAGGTCATTCATCAGGCCGAGCTCGAGTCGCAGTTGTTTAAGGTAACTGAAATATTCCCACCTCTCGTTTTCACCATATACAGAGACTAGCTTTCCTCCCGCGGCTTCGCGCGCGTGGACTACATTATCTACATATTTTACGGAACCCTATTTTCTTCCAAAATAAAATTTAGCCTATGTTACTCGTGGATAATATAGCTTTCGAATGGTGAAAGAATTTTAAAAAACGGTCCAGTAATTTTTGAGCATATTCATTACAACCAAACAAACAAACAAAGTTATAATATTAGTGTAGATGTAAGAAGACCCATTTGTCCGGAGACGCGCCTGAGAATAGTCTGATCAACGGCACTGACCTGATTGAAGGGACTCTGAGCTCATCATCAGGCAGAAGGTCATCCATCAGGCCGAGCTCGAGTTGCAGCTGTTAAAAGTAAGATCTTGTACAGGAAAACCCACCTTATCGTCATCGTTTTAAAGACCTCATCTGCTGGACAAAGGCCTCAAAGATCCTAAGCTCTCACATCCAGGTCCTTCCCGCGACCTTCATTAGCAAAAATTGCAAAAAAAACAATACACTGCTGTCAGCCATAATGTAAGGATGTTGTTTTTTAATTTTATTTCCTGAACTACGCACTTAGATGCTTGATAAGTTAAACTTGTTCATGGTTGGTTGTTATTTACAGTTTGTGTCATAGCTGGGTCGATAATGCCTACCTCTTTTATTTGTCCACAGTACGAAGGCACTTTCGCGGAGTACCTCGAAATGCTGACGCAACTCGGCCACGTAGTTCTCTTCTCATCTGCCTTTCCCTTGGCGGCGCTGTGCGCTCTACTTAACAACGCGGCGGAGGTGCGAGCGGACGCGTTCAAACTGTGCCACGTGGCGCAGCGGCCCTTCGGCGAGCGGATCAGCAACATCGGCAGCTGGCAGGTCAGTGGCCGGTGACGTCACACGCTGAACACGCGGCGGAGTGCGAGCGGACGCGTTCTAACTGTGCCACGTGGCGCAGCGGCCCTTCGGCGAGCGGATCAGCAACATAGGCAGCTGGCAGGTCAGTGGCCGGTGACGTCACACGCGGCGGAGTGCGAGCGGACGCGTTCAAACTGTGCCACGTGGCGCAGCGGCCCTTCGGCGAGCGGATCAGCAACATAGGCAGCTGGCAGGTCAGTGGCCGGTGACGTCACACGCGGCGGAGTGCGAGCGGACGCGTTCAAACTGTGCCACGTGGCGCAGCGGCCCTTCGGCGAGCGGATCAGCAACATCGGCAGCTGGCAGGTCAGTGGCCGGTGACGTCACACGCTGAACACGCGGCGGAGTGCGAGCGGACGCGTTCAAACTGTGCCACGTGACGTCACACGGTAAAATACGCACTTGAAGTCACTTATAGGGGTCCTATATTTATGATGTCACTTGTAGGTTATGTTCACACAGCTTATGACCGCAGTCTGTGGAGGAACACTATCAGTGGTCGCGATCCTTATCAGTGAGGGACCGAGGAAGAAAAGAAGAGAGTAGGTTATGTGTTGATTTTAAATGGAATATTATCAGTAAACGAAAATGTGCCGTTTCTTATTGAATTATAGACTATTTTGGCTCCATGACTGTTTCGATAAAGATTTGTAAATAGTTTCCGAATCCCTATTGTTTATGTTAGTCTGGTCTGTGAGCACGTAGAATTTTGTCCAATGACCCCAAGCTACCCATCCTTATCGCTCGCGCGTAATTATGTTGTTGTTGCTCTCGCACACTCACTGCGGGCGCCCGTCGCACAGTCGCGACAGCAATACAGTGTGAGTCACGTTAAAGTGTACATATGAAAATAGATGAAATTAGACCTATTTTTATCGACAAAAAAGAGGTCAAAAAATTTTTGAGTTTTTTTTTAAATTTTTTATAGATTTTTTTTTCTTCCAGTTACTTATTGTAAAGAAAACATAATAACTTTTAAACTAAGCGGTATATCTTAAAAAAATAAAAACAGTAATAATGCTAAATAACAGGCAATACTAAAAAAATACATAAAATACACAAAAAAGGCCAACAAATAATAAAAAAATTATACTTTTTGAAAAAAATCCGCTTAAAAATTCGTGTTTTTTTGGTTATTTGATAAATTTCTCTAAAAAATGCCCCTATAACCGGTAGTTTTTATTACTTTGTATTATTCTCTATCGTATTACCTTCGTAAAACGAAAAATCGCATGTCTCTATCCCTATCACAACGTTTGCAATGATCGTTTGAACTAAGCATCTCCGGGCGCGCCATTCAACGCTTCGTTAACAACAAAACTGAAAATGGCTCTAGATTTGTAATTTTGATAAAGACAAGTTAGATTTGAAATAAAAACAAAAGATTTCGAAGTAAAATAAGCATTTTAGTTAAAATTTAAATTGTCTCTACCTGTAGCGGAGAATAATGTTGTGGCAGGCCTTTGTTCAAACGATCATAACAAATGTTGTGATAGGTATAGAGACATGTTATTTTTGGTTTTACAAAGATAATACGATAGAAAATAATACAAAGTAATAAAAACCACCGGTTATAGGGGCATTTTTTGGAGAAATTTATAAAATAACCAAAAAAACACGAATTTTTAAGCAGATTTTTTTCAAAAAGTATCATTTTTTATTATTTGTTGGCATTTTTTGTGTATTTTATGTATTTTTTTAGTATCGCCTGTTATTTAGCATTATTACTGTTTTTATTTTATCAGGATATACCGCTTAGTTTAAAAGTTATTACGTTTTCTTTACAATAAGTAATTCAAAGAAAAAAAATTCTATAAAAAATTAAAAAAAAATCTCAAAAAATTTTTGACCTCTTTTTTGTCGATAAAAATAGGTCTAGTTTCATCTATTTTCATATGTACACTTTAACGTGACTCACACTGTATAATAGACAGTTTGACACCATACCCCAATAATTCTGAACCACAACTGTTTTAAAAAGACCTTACATTCAGGTCTTAAAAACTTAATTCATCTTAAATTACCTGTAAATTACGATTTTTGTTCGCATTGTAATTGAAAAGAGTAGTTTGATTGAGTTGACAAAATAGTGACGTCACTTGCTTGTAATGCCATACAAAATCTATGGGAGAGTTTCGTTTTGACAGTTTTAAAAAGTACGTCAATGAGGGCTATCGTTTTAGCGCTCACCAGTTGGCGCCACTGTAGAGTAAGGTCCTGTCACTTGCTAGTAGCGAAGACAGTGGCGCCGGCTGGTGAGCGCTAAAGTGGTAGGAGGACTATCGCATTTGCACTCATCAAGATGGCGCCACTGTAGAGTGAGGTCCTGTCAATCGCCAGGGGTGCCAACTGTTAAGTATAAAAACGATAGCCCTCATTGAGTGGTGGTGTCAACATGTCTATTACGCGCGACCGATAAGGATGGGTAGCTTGGGGTCATTGGACAAAATTCTACGTGCTCACAGACCGTGCTAGAAGTTTTTTTTTTCCCCTTTTTATATCTGCAATCGACTTAGGTCATAATCAGATGTTTTGTCTTGCTTTTTTGTTTGTGTTCATGAGGAGGGGTATTCCAGTAAATTCTCTCCCTCGGTTTTTACTAATTCACGTAGCAATCTAGTCCAGCCTTCCAATATTCAGTCCAAGCCACTAGCATCTTTGGTCCAACTGTAATATTTGCCATCTTTTCAGTCTTGTGGTGGTCTTGTGGGTTTGTTCCACAATTTCTCTAGCAAGTTGGTTTGTGTGATGTTTTAGCCTTTCCTTATATTTGGTACAGTATTTGCTCACCTCCTCCCTGACTGTCGGCATCTCCAAGTACTCGTGTATCTCTACATTTCTAGCGAACCATGGTGAATTTGAGATTGCCCTCAGTGTTTTATTCTGAAACCTTTGGAGGATTTCAAGGTTGGAATTACTGGCAGATCCCCAGAGTTGAATCCCATAAGTCCATATAGGCTTTATTATGCATTTATAGACCGGCATTTTGTTGTTTAAACTGAGGGATGATTGTCTCCCAATCAGCTAGCCGTGCTAGAAGTACTCGCAATATTTACGTACCGTTTTGTTTTCAGCACGCAATGGAAGCGATGGTGGGCGTGGCGGTGCTGGTGAACTGCGCGCTCATCGGGCTCTCGGGGCCCGTGCACCGCCTGCTGCCCGGCGCCGCGCCCGCGCACTCCGTGCTGCTCGTCGTGGCGTTGGAGGTCTTGTGCGCTTGTAATAAGAGCTATATTCCCACAGCAAGAAGCCGACGACAGCCAGCGCTCCGTAGCACTAGAGGTCTTTTGCCTTTGCAATATGAGCTATATTGCCATAGCGTGTATCTTACGGTTCGACGCCGCGCCCGGGCGCCCGCGCATTCGGTGCTCCTCATCGTGGCGTTAGAGGTCTTATGGCGTTGTAATATGAGCTATATTCCCATAGCGTGTAGCTTACTGCCAGATACTGCGCTCGTGCACTCCGTGCTCCTCATCATGGTACTGAAGGTCTTAGGACAGTGCAATACGTCCTATATTCCCACAGCGTGTAGCTTACTGCACGACGCCGCGCCCATGCACTCCGTGCTCTTCATTGTGGCCTTAGAGGTCTTGTGCCTTTGCAATACAGTCTATACTTCCACAGCGTGTCATTTCAATACGGCTCATATTCCTACAGCGTGTAGCTTACTGCCAGACGCTGCGCCCGCGCACTCATTAGGGGCATTAGGGGTCTTCTGGCGTTGTAATATGAGCTATATTCCCACAGCATTTAGCCTGTGTCAGCTAGTGCTGCTCTTCGTGGGTCTTATACCCTTGCAATACGGCCCATATTCCTATAGCCCGCAATGAGGCGATGGCGGGCGTGGCGGTGCTGGTGAACTGCGCGCTCATCGGGCTCTCGGGGCCCGTGCACCGCCTGCTGCCCGGCGCCGCGCCCGCGCACTCCGTGCTGCTCGTTCCATCGCCTGGTCGATCGACAAACCGGTCGGGTGTCGGATGTTCTCGGTCACGATCGGTCGCCGCTTCGAGCCGTCCATCCAGGCGATTTCGATCTTCGGCGCGGATCCAGCATCAGCCCAGAACATTCTTCCCATTTGCGGGTCCAGGACTATCGACGTGGGGCTTTCAATACCAGCGGACACAAGCGCTCGTCGGTACCTTCCGTCTGTTCTAGCGACCATCACGCGTCCGCGCGGTTTCGATCCAGTTCTGTCAGTTTCAGTCCAGTACAAGTTATCGCCCATGTAGTCGACGGCCAACGCGGTCGGTTTGGAGTTTCCTTTCATGTTTAAGTCCTGGGCGAATCCTGTCTTCACCTGTCCCTCCAAGGCGTTGACCATGTAGGACCTCTTGATTGTCTTGTCGTAGCTGTCAGCCCAGAACACCATCTCTCTCTTGGGGTCGTAGTCGATGGCCTCTATTCTCTTCTCGGAGGTGATGACGTCGAATTCGTCGTTCTTGTCCTGTACGAAGGCGCGGATTTCGGGCCCGTTGGCGAACATGAGGACCACTTCGCCGTCTGTCGCTTTGCAAACGCCCGAGAGGCTGTCTGCCAATCTGTAAGTAAAATGACATTTTAATTAGCATTTCACAGTCAGTTTATTACGCGTGATCTAAATTACATTATCATTAGCACCTCAATCTGACCCAAAATGTCCTCTCAATTATTTTTGAACTCTAAAGAAAATTAAAGTTAAAATCCTAAATATGTTAAGAGATTTTAGTATGGCCTGTAATGTTGCTTTCCGGCTTCTTCCTCGGCCCGTCACTGATGAGGATCGCGACCACATAGTGTTCCTTCACAGACTGCGGTCACAAACTGTGTGGACCGCCCAATGTAAGTTTCCGCCCACCGTCTTCCTCACCGCGTCTGACCATCTCGTCGGTACCCTGCCCCGAGCACGTCTAATGTTAGTACGGTAATGTTTAGCTGACGGTTTTTATCGTTTAGGATATTTTGTTTCTTTCCATAAGGTGGACCAATACAAGTAGAGCTATACGAGTACTAAAGCCTGGTCCGTGAGCACGTAGAATTTTGTCCAATGACCCCAAGCTACCCATCCTTATTGATCGCGCGTAATTATTGCTGTCGCGACTGTGCGACGGGCGCCCGCAGTGAGTGTGCGAGCGCGACAGCAACATAATTACACGCGAGCGATAAGGATGGGTAGCTTGGGGTCATTGGACAAAATTCTACGTGCTCACGGACCAGGCTTTAGTAAAGGATCGGGTCAAGTGATGATCATCATTAGAGTGCTATACTAACTTGAAGCCTTCTCTACAATCGCAGCTGTAACTTCCATTCAAGTTAGTGCAAAGCTGCGAGCAGTGGTGCGTGCCGTCGGCGCACTCGTCGACGTCGACGCAACGCTTGCTATCCGCGGGCGATATGATCCAGCCCTGGAAGCACGTGCAGATGTACCCGCCGCCGGTGCCGGGGCCGGCGCCGGCCGGGGCCGTCAGGTTCGTGCAGAAGTGCTCGCAGCCGCCTGCAACGAGATAGGGGTATTATTTGACGGTTATAAACGCTTCAGGGGACCTATTAAGACTGGTTACTTCCAGTCAGTTTATGCCTTAAATAAACGTTTGCTTATTATGATCCCTATGCGCCAGAGAGTCAGCAATCACGTGCAGCTTGAATGATTTCTGACCGCAGGTAGTGATGATAACATCACACAAACTTATAGAGTATCAGGATAAAGAAAAGGTTCTCTCTCCCCGGTTTTTGACAATGATAAATAATCTTGCTATTTACTTCTGGAAAATCTCAGGAGTGTAAAAGGTAAACCTCTGACACCTATTGTTAAACCAAAGAAATAAACTTAAATGAAGTAAGAACGTTGGGAAGAGAGGAGGAGGGGAAGAGAGGAAGGGAAGAGACGAGGAGGGGAAGAGAGGAAGGGAAGAGAGGAGGAGGGGAAAAGAGGAGGGGAAGAGAGGAGGAGGGTAAGAGAGGTGGAGGAGAAGAGAGGAGGAGGGTAAGAGAGGTGGAGGAGAAGAGAGGAGGAGGGTAAGAGAGGTGGAGGAGAAGAGATGAGGAGGGGAAGAGAGGTGGAGGAGAAGAGATGAGGAGGGTAAGAGAGGTGGAGNATGGCGGGCGTGGCGGTGCTGGTGAACTGCGCGCTCATCGGGCTCTCGGGGCCCGTGCACCGCCTGCTGCCCGGCGCCGCGCCCGCGCACTCCGTGCTGCTCGTTGTGGCGTTGGAGGTCTTGTGCGCTTGTAATAAGAGCTATATTCCCACAGCAAGAAGCCGACGACAGCCAGCGCTCCTCTTCGTAGCACTAGAGGTCTTGTGCCCTTGCAATAGGGCACCGATTCCCATAGCCTGCTGCCGGCGCCGCGCCCGCGCACTCCGTGCTCCTCATCGTGGCGTTAGAGGTCTTGTGCCCTTACCATACAGTGTATATTCCCACAGCGAGAAGCCTGCGATAGCCAGCGCTCCTCTTCGTGGCACTAGAGGTCTTGTGCCGTTGTAATATGAGCTATATTCCCACAGCGTGTAGCTTACTGCCAGAGGCTGCGCCCGCGCACTCATTAGGGACATTAGAGGTGTTATGCGCTTGCAATACGGCTTATATTCCCACAGCGTGTAGTCTGTGGCAGCCAGTACAACTCTTCGTGGCACTAGAGGTCTTGTAGCGTTGTAATACGGCCTGTATTCCCACAGCGTGTAGCTTACTGCCAGACGCTGCGCCCGCGTACTCATTAGGGACATTAGAGGTCTTGTGGCGTTGTAATATGAGCTATATTCCAACAGCAAGAAGCATGCGGCAGCCAGCGCTCCTCTTTGAGGCACTAAAAGTCTTGTAGCGTTGTAATATTATGAACTATATTCCCACAGTGTGTAGCTTACTGTCAGACGCGGCGCCCGCGCACTCATTAGAGACATGAGAGGTCTTGTGCGCTTGCAATACGGCTTCTATTCTTACAGCGTGTAGCTTATGTCAGCTAGTGCTGCTCTTCGTGGGTCTTATACCGTTGCAATACGGCCCATATTCCTATAGCCCGCAATGAGGCGATGGCGGGCGTGGCAGTGCTGGTGAACTGCGCGCTCATCGGGCTCTCGGGGCCCGTGCACCGCCTGCTGCCCGGCGCCGCGCCCGCGCACTCCGTGCTGCTCGTCGTGGCGTTGGAGGTCTTGTGCGCTTGTAATAAGAGCTATATTCCAACAGCGAGAAGCCTGCGACAGCCAGCGCTCCTCTTTGAGGCACTAGAGGTCTTGTACCTTTGCAATAGGGCGCCTATTCCCATAGCCTGCTGCTGACGCCGCGCCCGCGCACTCCGTGCTGCTCGTCGTGGCGTTGGAGGTCTTGTGCGCTTGTAATAAGAGCTATATTCCCGCAGCGTGTAGCCTGCGGCAGCCAGCGCTCCGTAGCACTAGAGGTCTTTTGCCTTTGCAATATGAGCTATATTGCCATAGCGTGTATCTTACGGTTCGACGCCGCGCCCGGGCGCCCGCGCATTCCGTGCTCCTCATCGTGGCTTTAGAGGTCTTGTGCCTTTGCAATACAGTCTATACTTCCACAGCGTGTCATTGCAATACGGCCCATATTCCTACAGCGTGTAGCTTACAGAGAGACGCTGCGCCCGCGCACTCCGTGCTGCTCATTGTGGCTTTAGAAGACTTGTGGCAGTTGTAATAAGAGCTATGTTCCCACAGCAAGAAGCCTGCGACATGCTGCATGGCCACTGGCCCTGCAGTAATCTTTAGGCGGCGTCGGGCATTAGAGGTCTTGTACAGTTGTAATATGAACTATATTTCCGCAGCGTGTAGCTTACTGTCAGACGCTGCGCCCGCGCACTCTAAGAGACATGAGAGGTCTTGTGCGCTTGCAATACGGCTTCTATTCTTACAGCGTGTAGCTTGTCAGCTAGTGCTGCTCTTTATGGCACTAGGGGTCTTATACCGTTGCAAATCGGCCCATATTCCTATAGCCCGCAATGAGGCGATGGCGGGCGTGGCGGTGCTGGTGAACTGCGCGCTCATCGGGCTCTCGGGGCCCGTGCACCGCCTGCTGCCCGGCGCCGCGCCCGCGCACTCCGTGCTGCTCGTCGTGGCGTTGGAGGTCTTGTGTAGTTGTAATAAGAGCTATATTCCCACAGCGTCAGCCTGCGGCTGCCAATGCTCGTCATCGTGGTCTTGTGGCCTTGCAATACGGTTCATATTTCTATAGCGTGTATCTTACGGTTCGACGCCGCGCCCGGGCGCCCGCGCATTTCGTGC